ACTACGTGCAATCCAAACCTCGGCTCCGAAGAGTAGTGGGGTGTGTCAAAAACGAACAGGGGAAAGAGAAAAGTCAGTGAGAGGAAAAGCAAAAGCATTATTTTGCTTTTTTCAGCAGATGTACCGTGAGGCTTCCGGAGCACTGGGATTGCAAGGGGCAAGAGAGCAGACAATCATGTCCAAGGGTGGTAACCCCATAAAAGTCGATGAGGTTCAAGGTACTCTCGAATGACTTCGAGGGCCGCTGATCCTGACGGGATTCGTCTAGCTGTTCTGAAACCGAAGGTGGGACAGCTAACGGTGTCCCTGAGCAACCTCTTCAACGCCCCTTTGGATACGGGTAGGCTGCCGGATGATTGGCTACTGGCAACGGCTGTCCCAATCCACAAGGCGGAGATAGGAACTCGTGCTCGAATTACCGACCAGCGAGCCTGACTTCAGCAGTACTTAAAGTGCTGGAGCGAATCTTACGCGACAGGATCGTGCGCCATCTTGTCGTCAATGGTCTGCTCACCGCAGACAAACACCGTTTCCTCAGGAAACGGTAATGCCTGTCTAACCTGCTTCGTTTCTTAGACGAAGTGACTAGGCGCATAGATCGAGGAAACCAGGTAGATGTTTCCTACCTAGACTTCATTAAGGCCTTTAACGCGGTAAACCACAGACTACTTCTAATAAGACTAAGCTGGTTTGGACCCACACCTTGGGTGATGGCGTGGATCACGATATGCGTGAAAGATCGGAGTTTCAAAGCCAGCGTAGAATACAGATCACAAAGAGGAAGGGTCAGTAGTAGGGTAGGGTATTTGACTAAAGATGACCAGAGCATCATAAAAACAACAACACCACTGCGGCGGACGTCCATGGTAGAACCTATGGACTCCAACCTTAGGCGGCGTAAGACATTGACAAAAGCTTACCTATCGAAAAATGGGGTCACAGCTCAGGCGCTGTTTCCGAGTCAAAAGCAAGAGTAGGGGACTTAAAATGCTCACTTCCGGAAAGGTTACTTAGCACTCGGAAAAGTGAGCAGAACTGGAAGTCACATCTCAGGAACTTAGAGCTGCAATAATAGCTGTCTCTAAAACGTGGTTATGTGAAAGCGACCACATTCCACAGACTACCACAAACAGATTTGTCATCCGCAGACAGGACAGTAGGGGACAAGTGCGAGATGGAGGAGTAGCGCTTTACATTCGAAAAGAAACTCCCTACAGGAAATCGGATATAGAGGTTTGCACTCCTAATATATAAATGTGAGCAATTTCACGAGTTTCCAGGACAAACAGAGCTACCCCAGCCAGTGTGCATAGGAGTCCGGAAGCCACCATATACGAAGATGAGCAATTTATCAGGGCAATGGATGCACCAGCACAGTCCCAACAAAAGCTGTTGATTGATCGAGACTTCAACCTACCTGGCATTCAGTGGACCATCGAGATCGCATGGTACACCAGAGGAAATTTTCCTTGGGTGGGTGCACTTCAGAGCCATCCTGCAATATGTGCGAGAAAACACAAGTTTCTGGGCTAGACGAAACCCATCTCTCCTAGATCTGGTGTTAACTAAATAACAATGGAAAGCATAACGGGTAGCGGGGAGTTATCAGATCACAGTGGAGGCAAAGGGTAAGATTTAACGTACGGTAACTCCAAGACGACTTTGTGCCCCTTAAGTTTGGGAAAGGCTGTAATAAGACTCCATGGTAGTCTCCTGCAATAAGAAGAGCACTAATAAAAAGAAACAGAAGCTGGAGACACTACAGCGAGTTGAACATCCAGCTGGGACGGAAAAACTACAGAGGGTTGGGACAGTCAGCCTTAAAGGAGTAGAAAAGGAGAAATATGAACTAAAGCTCGCCGAAAACGTCAAGCAAAAACCGAAAAGATTTATGAGATATTTTCAATCGAAACGTAAATGGAGGGAAGCCATAGGCGCCTTGGTTTTGAAAAGCAACACTGTTGCAGCAGACGATCATAGCGAGGCAATAGCATTAGGCAACTATTTCGCTAGCGTTCATAGGAAAGACAACTATAAATTAGAAGCCCCCACCCCAACCTCTATTCCACAGCGAATATGATAGCTGAACTACCTGCAATGGGTTTTTAAAAGGTGTCAAAGGAGTTGGACATTAATAAGGCCCTGAATTCCAATGGTATATTGTGGTGATCCAGACCTACGTGATGACGCCTACCCTGGAGCGGCGCGTTACAGTTTTAGGACATTTGCGATCAATCAAATTTGAATGCTGAAGTCCATGACACGCACATGGATTCTGAATACACGTCATTCGTGGATCGTGCCAGCCAATCCAAGACAGTGCTGACAGAAGCAGAATTATGCAAGTAGTACTGCAATCCGATTGGTGGAGGCCTAGATTACCAATAATCTTCTTTCGTACATATTAATTAATCACCCTCATTTCTTCCAATAAACGAACTACTACTTACTACGATTCCTGTGGTCTTTTCCTCTCGCCTCGCCCTCGTGGGACAACGCGAACCCGTGCCATTGCGGTCCAATGCTTCTGTGATCCAGTCCGTGATAGCTGAATATTGATTCAGGTCCTGTAATTCCTATTGCGAGGTTTGCATCCCGAATTCCGTACGCGCTACTACTACTACTACTACAATCATTACAAATTGGTGTCGCGTGATGGAGCTTCAAACGNCGACTGAGCAACTAAACGTGCAAACAAACCCCTTTCATATCGAGGAATGGGTCGAAAGATTCGAGCTGTGGTGCAGTATTCGCAAAGGTGGCGCACAGAATCAATCAGACCTATTTCTTACTGCTAGCGGCCGCGACGTGTACTCCCTTTTGAAAAACCTGGCTTTCCATGAAGCTGCGGGTAAACTGCCAAACGAGTCCCTGAAGTCGCTGCTACTCAACCATCTACTGCCCA